TAGGGACTTTCTTTATTGTATCGATCTTTCAGACTGGCTCAAAGGGTCCCATACCTTCAAAAGAATAAGGCGGAGGAAGGGCTAATTCTCGGAAGATAGTAGGCCCTTTCTTCAGAATAATCAATTAGGTTATCATCCTGGCACGTCTCGAAAAGACTTTGGCGCCTTCCCCACAGGGACTCAGTCTTGCTTCCATCATCTTAGCCTTTGATATGCCTCGTTTTCCTTCTTCGGGCTAGGGCACCTAAGACAGACTCAAAAGGGAAGAGCGTGGTCTTGGGTTTAGTCTAAAAATCCATTCACATCGATAGGGGGCAGGGAACCAATAAGAAGCATTTCCGGGCCTATCAAACAAACTATAGGTTTCCCTTCCGTGCGATAGGGGATAAAATACGTTTTCATCGACATCTTTCTTTTTATTCAGCTGTCTTTTTTATGTCACTTCCAGTGAAGGTCGGGTATGTTCCGCTTATACTATCACAGATGGATTAATTACCAGTAGTTCCACGCCACCCATCATCTTGCACGAGACGTAGATCGGAAAATACGTTGTTTTATAAGAACTTGGTCCACCAGAAGCTCGTAGCATGCCCTCCCTCTGCTCGTTACGTTAGCAAGTAAGCCATCGTAAGAGACGCAAAAGCAAGCTGAAGAAGAAAAAAAAGGCTTCCGCATAGGCTCTCCCTGAACCGTTACTTTATTATAATTCAACTTATTTACAAGGAAGCCCTATGGCCTCAACGCTAGGCAGGAACAGCAAAGAATTCAAAGCGCTAAATAGGAAATGAAAAAGGCCAAGCTACGAACAGTACCCTTTTCAACATCAATAAGCTCAAGAGCTAGGAGTTCGATGTCTAGGTTGAGGCTCACCCATTGAAGTGTGACCGTAGATCTGGTCTTTACCCAGGAAAGAAAGCAGCCAGGTCTTTTTTCACCCTTAAGAGCAAGGTCCGTCCCACTCTATCATCTACACAATTGTCCTATCTCAGATGCTTTGTCGGAGATTCCAGATTTGATTGCTAATCATGACATCAGTCTTTCCTCCGTCAGGAGGTCATGAAGGTGAGGTCCTGAGAGAGATAATGCTTCACACATGGCATCCGATTGAAAGAAAGAGATGGGTTGGCAATAAAACAGCCATTTCATTATTTTTTTTACGCAATTTAAAGATTAAGGAATCGATCACTTCTTCACTTCACACTAGTGAATTTGGTAAAGGGAGGTTTTCCCTCCGCTTTAAACGTCTTTTCCCCGCCTGTTCAAGGCACCTTTGTACTTCACTTCCGCTTCCTTCCTAGGTATATTCCTACCCTACCTATCGAAATGAAAAAGAAGTCATCTTTACCAGCTCAGCACAAATCATTCTAATAAGTGTATTTATAGGTACCAAGCGCCTATCCGTTCTAAAAAGGTTGGAATGAAAAACACATTTCGAAAGCCTAGGAAACCGCTTTCGTTACTTCACTTCTGTGTTTCCGTTCCCCACCCCTTATTAGTATAGTTACGAAAAGTATAGTTCCCCATCAGCTATTCGGTATATTGATAGTTCAAGGGAAAAGCGGATAAGACGTGGTATCGGGACTAGTGATGTACAATTATGAAAGCGTTGTTTTCATCCCACTAGAATTATGACAATACAATAAGGACAACGGGGAAGGGAAAAGAAAGGAAAGCACTAACCTATATTCGCAGCTTTAGGGGTACAGTTCTAAAAAGCCTATTTAAATCCCTTCGCTAAAGGTTTCACTCTATAATTTGATGAGTGACCACGGAAAGCAAATTCGAGAAAGGTGAAAATAGGATTCTATTCCGATTGTTCAGCTATTCCGCGTTGAAAGAGGCGGTACCGTAGAGGGACTAATTGCTTGCCCGGGTTAAAGGGAGTCGAACCAATCTATCGTTCAAGGTAACAGGGTATTAAGAAAATTGGCATGGGATTCCGTACCTTATACTGTTAAAAGTGACTCTAAATTACATATAATAAGAACACGTCTTTACTTCATCTTTTCGATTAGATAATGGATGACGATAAGCCACCGTCCCAGTAGTGCTCACTAAGCTTGATTGCTCCGAGCGGTAGGTCACAATCTGAATTTCAGACTGAAAAGCGGAAAGTAATAAGTTCAACGGGTAAGAGAATGCGTTTAACCGATTGAAGTGTGATAAGCGTCACTAACGGTATAGAGAATAGGGCATTTAACTGTAACTCACCGGTAGGACAGATAACGTTTGTGGTTTGAGTTCGCTTATAGAAATGGAAATCCGACCTATATTTATTTCCAACTAAAGGTAAGGCACTTTTCCCTTCACCGGAATCCGACGTCAAATGGTTATCGATTGGTAGTTCCTCATCGTGCATTGACTAACTCCTCATGGGGTTGAAAACAGCGCTCTGAAACCGGTGGGAAAGAAAAGCGCAATGCATTTCGGATTTTCGGTGGGTAACAAACCTTAAGCGGGGTTTATTCATCTCTAATGAAAGGAACCGATAGTAGGAAAGATACCCTACATTTGAGAGAGTTGAAATCTCACTCATAGATTTGGAAGAGTTGAATAGGACTGTGTGAGCTGCATCGAAAAGTACCTCCCGGAGCGAGTAAGGCATAGGGCCATGCCTTACAAAGCAAAAGGCGCCCTCTATTGCTTTAAACTAAACAGTATAAACCTGCAGCGAAAGCGGCCTTAGTACACTATGGCGTTCCAGACCTGATTGAGAAAAAGCATTAATAGTTGTGTGTGTCGTACGGGGAACCGAGTTCGCACTCTCATGTTCCCCAACACAACAAAAGGGGCTTTACTTTCAGTAACTTCTTTCACTTTTTTGTCGTCTCATTTCAGCTTTCAACCGCATTTCCACCACGATTTTTCTCCAAACGAGAAGCTTTGGCTAGCCGTTCACTCACTCTCGAACGTAAAGGGTTATCATCTTCAATTCCCTTACTTCGATATCCAATGACTCAGTATAATGCTCATTTGACTGTCGCGTAGGTAAAGTGTTTACTGGTCCGCCGGGTGAGACCTCTTGTACTCCTTCTTTCGCTGATTAAGAGCCGGATGAGAATCCTCTCAAATCCTCGAATGAGAACTTCCCTTAAGGAAGGAATGAATCTAGGGAAGAAGTCGCAAGGATAGTTCCATTTCTCCGCTAGCCGGGGACATGACTTCCAGCTGATAAACCTGCTCTTGCTCCATTCGCTGAATCTGGAGATTTATACTTGTTAGAAACTGTATTCTTACTCTTCTTTGTATTTCCGGGGGTCTTTCGCAAACTAAGGCAAATAAAGAGTCTTATTCTCCCTTTCAGTCAGCCGGAAGTAAGAAGATTGCTGCTCTAGCCCTAGCTGCTCTACGCGGATACGATCTTTCCTTACTGAACAGCTTCCCCAGATCATGTTACAATTAGAGTTGCGGAGATAGAGAAGGCTCATTCTCCTTTAATAGCAAAGGCCTTTTCACGAGCTGGGCTCGAACCTGCGCTTCCCTGTCTAGGAGTGCATTCCGGAAATATAGTTGGAGATGAGTCTGTCGACCAGTGCTTGAACTAAGATTGTTTCAAAAGAGAAAGGGAATGAGTCTGAAAAGACAGGTCGAGAAGGGTTGCGAGCTCAAACGAATAGAGTTCAAGCCGAAAGTGTTTCAAAATAGAAAGAGAAAGGCTGGAACGAAGTAGCTCGCCTAAAAGGAGGGGAACGAAGCACTCGGCTGAGATTGTTGGAAAAGAGAGGCAGGGCCCGAGGCACTTGCTAACGAGCAGGCGGGACAAGACTGACTTGAAAAGACGCTCTACTTGAAAGGCAATGGCTTTGAGGGTACTAACTGTGATATATGGGTAAGGAAAAAAAAGAGTAGCTCAGGCTCTCGAGGCATACTAGCGGGGCTTGACTAGAATCGTAGAAAGAA